AAGAAAATCTTATTTCTTCATTACTTTTCAAAACTCAATAATATTTTTATTTAGCTGATTAGATATACGTGCCAAAACAACACATTATCATCTTCAATGCTGTTGCAGTGATTTTTCGGTGTCTAAATCTTTTTCTGGAATAAATTTTTCATCCTATATTTTTCTTATATAGTTCAGGGCGATCCTATATATTTTAGACCTATCCTATATAGGAATTCCTATGTTTTTTGAGAGAGCCGCTGCGATGCCAGCTGATAGACAAGCTTATTATTAGTATAAATGAAGATTTAACTCCTAGTCAGCACTTAATTGAGTCTCTCTACCACACGATGGGCATATCTAGTACAAATAAAACTATTCAATATTATATACAATATCGTCAAGAGGAAAGACATAATTGAACACAACAACTTTTGTATAATATGGAACTGGAACTTGTTGAAAAACATATCGAACATCAAGTTCAAGCAACTGAATTAGTAAATGCACTTAGTCAATTATCTGTGTGTTCAATAGGCGAGTTTCAGCTGAATATGAAAATTAAAAAAGCGCTTCATCAGGCAAAGACATCGCAACACATTGTGCCTATTTTAATAGATAATACTAAAGAAACAACAGGTAGGAAAGTAAATAGACCTCGATAAAGTTTGTTTATCTTTCACAGTCGAATATCGTCCATTGATAATACATCTTGAGGGTAACTACAACAGATTGGCATCGAATAAACATTCGATTCAACAATAGTTCTGTTCGGCTCTCTGTAAACTTATACAATTACCAACTGATTCGCTCAGTGTTGAGCGTATTGAAGAAGGTGGTGTTATTCTTCATCTGGTAATTCATGCACCTTATGGTTCATTGTTTATCAAAGAAGTTGCGGGACATGGAAAAAATTGAGTATCATCTGGCTCAAAAATTCAAACAATTCAAAAATGTTGCGAAAAATTTGATAGTAGGATGAATTCGATGGGTCTAGAGAAATTTTCTTTGCCCATTGAAAAGTGTTTGATGGATTTTAAGTGGAATAAAATGCGTATGATTGATAGCGGATCAATTGGTAATACTTTGTTGTTTAATTCAGTCGGTCAAGAAAATAAAGAATTCGTATCTCCAGATGGTAGTGTGAACTTCCTTTTTATTTGAGAAACATCTCTAATTATAAATCAGGATGGAAACGATTCGGTATTAAAGTAGCTGACAATGGCACTGCCTTCAACGCTAAATGGGGTTCATGGCATATTGCTTATCATGGTACCAAAGGTCAGCATGTACCATTCATTTTAACATCAGGCTTGTGTGTAGCAATTCAACAATACTCTACATCTAAAAATAATCAAACCATCTTTTTATCTCCGAGTATTGAATATATGGCTCATCCGCAACATACTCGAATATGGAGACACATTCAGAAAGATGATGGAAAATGTCGTTATTATCAACTCGTTTTTCAATGTCGTGTTAATCCAGAAGCAGTAGGTGATCCCAAATCTGAAACATTACTTCAAGAAACTTACAAGATTACGCGTGTTGATAAAGATTTCTGTAACGAAGAACTCGAATGGTTTATAAAAGCTAATGCTGCTGCAAAAGAATTCATTCATGATAATATTATTTGTTATGGTCTCATGATACGAGTGATTGATTGTCATCCGTATGATCTTCCAATCTTAAGTTGGTGGAAGAATACCGATTGCGGTGAATATTAATATATAAATTAATCTTTTGTTCATTAGTTAAACTTATATAACGATCAAGTAGTTTCTCTTTCTTGTCAGTATTATCAACAAGAATGCAATATTTGTAATGTTTAATGGTTTTCTTAAAATTATTTTAAATAATCTTTTATGTTACTGAAAAGTGTTAATAATTAATTTGAAGTCATATTTTCTTTTTCATGAAGATCACAAGACTTTCTCACTCGGCACTATCAGATATTGTTGATTCTATGCAATTTTATTTATTGCCCTAAAAACACCGTTTAAATCGTTTCCCGCACTACAGTGAAAAATATGGCTTGTATCATGTGCCTTTTGAATATATTATAGCTGGAGTAAACAAAATAACGATACATTAAAGTTGTATAAAGTCGAAGATAAAGCATTTTGATCTTCATTGAATTGAAGCTTTTCGTTTACTCAAGATTATATGTAATAATACCGATAAAACATACAGCACTAAACATCTTGATGTCATAAGAGTTATCAAAATTGAAACAGACCTTTTTACAACGTTTACCTTCAGTGAATAGAAAATCACACATCGATGATGTGATTAAGCAAGAGTTTCAGTGCAATAAGAATCAACGCTTATGCAACACTAAAAATAAAAATAGTTTGTTAAAGTTTATTAAAATAAACTCGAACTATAACAATATCATGGAGTTCCTATTGAAATATTATACTGAACGTCACATTCAATCGTGATGCTTTGTATGATTCCTAGGTTTTGTCCCAATCCATCTGATTAGTATCCTATAAAGTTGCTATTATCATATGGTTCTCATCTCAATACTTCCATACCTTCAACAGAACTCTTATGTTAATGTCCTTACAAATATCTTCATATTAATACCTTCAATAGCGTCCAACTTCAAGGACGTTGCCTATTGCATATACTTTCCCTTCGACTATAATGCATTACTATTTAAAAAAACGAAAGAGAAAATATTCTGTATGTATGATTTTCAATATACAAATAAAGCATAGTTCACGCTATACAGCATCTTCCTATTACAAATTGTTACACTAACTTTAAATGGTCTTGATTATCTAACTGAATAATAATGAATTTTCACAACTTTCACAGAAAAAAGCAAGACATTCGCACCAATTTGGATATTTGTATTGTAGAACTATCATCTATTTAATCTATTTTTACAATTGAATATGATAATCTAAGATATTTCAAATGTGCTCATAGTCGGTCACACAATATCAGTGACGTCTATGATCGACTCAATTAATGCTAACGATGATGATGAGATACCAAATAATTTTAGAGCTGATGGTAGGAATGCTGGGGGGATTCCAAGGTTTGTGTTGAAGAACTCTTTCAAAAATCTAGTGCTGGATTAGCATTCAAATGAGCTAATTTTTTCATTATCATTTTCTGGTGCGTAGCTAAATTCTCTAAATTTACACAAGTAGGTACATTTGGAAATTATGAAAGGCGGTTATGTTTTCAAATTAACACGAAAAATAAATTTCTATTTTCCTTTGTCATTTTATCATAATAGTCATTTTTCGTCAATTATCTTGTTCTAACTAAATCTGAGCTGTTCCAAGAATAGCTTCTTGTTAGATGCTTTCGATAAATCTGTATTGAAGCATATCGATTTTTCGGAAGATTAAAATTTTATTTTTTAATGGCACTTTACCATGGTTTTCCAACTCCTATCTTAAAAATGCACAAATCGGCGATTCTATTCAATAACTTGCCGATTTTTAGCTATTTACCGACTGCTTTACACTTAAGCAGCAATATCTGCTATTTTTACGACTTATCTAATCTATGAAAAATAATAGCATTCAATTAATTTATTTTGTATAACTTACTAATTTAGAGTTGTTATTGTTTGATGTCGAAAGTTCATTCAAACTCAGTAACATGTGAAGTTTTCTTCAAGTTCATCAAAGTTTTTTGTTTTAGAAAACCAACATTTTCGTCACCCAAAATTAATATTGTGTTTTTAGGTGCAACTATTTTTTTCTTGTATCATATTAATTTTTCGACCGTGTTTTTGGCTATGCGTTAATAATTTTCTTTGTATATTGTAAAATTCATTTGCTTCCATTAATAATTTTATTTAAAATGCAAATAATCAAAAAGTTATGAATGGTTTATTACACCGACAATTTCATCTCTTCTTTATAGAAGAACTATATAGAAAGTTGAACTTCACTCATTTTTTGTTATTCACCAAACGTGAAATTCTACACCATGAAAACGAATATTTATTCTATGTATTTCTCTAGTTAAGATACTTTCTCAAAGCTACTGTAGCAATTCGTATCTAAATGCTGAAGCTACAAAACTATCCTCTATACGAACTTGAATGAATAGTATTAACGTGAACACCTCATGTTGCCGTGTATAGTGCGCCACATTGTATTGGCAAGTACTGACACATACACTAACTTTTGCAAACCGATATGTATTCAGAAAACCAATCAATAGTATGTACCATTTCATCGTCTTTACTGGTCTCCACTCCTTGGCAATTTTCACTTTTTTAAGATGAGACATTGTCAAAAATCAAACTCTTAAGCCAATCTTTTTACCGTAATGAATATATTCTATTTTTTTCTCTTAAACTATTTTTATACGTGAGATGGAAGATATTAAAGTCTATAAACTCATATAGACAAGAAAAAAGAACATATGAATAATTTGTGTTTATTATAAGTTTCTTCTTCCTCATGAATACCCACTCAGACAGTATCAAACACAAAAGTAGTCATAGCTGAAGAATTGAATTTGAGCAATGATTGATCAAGAGCAACCAACTATATCTTTTCGTTAAATAAAAAAGTCATCCACCCACATGATTGAGGAACTTTTATCAAATTTTAGTTGTCTAATTTTTTTTAAATTACCGAGTAATTTAACTGTATGCATATGGACCTATTTTTTATGTTGAGTCTCTCTAAAAATTCATTCAAAAATACGTAATCGCTATCGATTCATCAGAAAATTTCGAGGAAGCTCTACAGAAATTGTTAATCAATCATTAAATGTCATAGAGTATGACAATAATATCGAAATTTCTGAAGTATTCCAGAAAATTTGTGTGCGATCGCTTAACTTTTATCTGTTAAGTTGCATTGCAAACGTAATGATCCGTTTTAAATACAAAAAACAAGTTCTGTTCTTTTCTGATTTTATTCAATCTTTGAAACAAAGTCAATGAAACATTCAATTACACCGATAAATGATATTTGTTGTGTGCTTAAATACAGAAGGAAATACGATGAAACAGTCATCCTTTGTATTAATGACTCATTTATATCATTATTTATTATTTCATAGACAGCTAGATTTAAGGTTTTCAATGATGGAATTAATTCAACTAGGCAAAGATGATGAGAAGCGACGATGTAAAAAGATGGAAGAAAAGTGGGACTGCGCACTGACGTTTTGCGTCAGTTGAATTTATGAGTAGAACACATAGTGTAAATTTTTCTCGGCGATAAGAAATACACAAATCGGTAATCGATTTCAATTGATTTTTATATAAAATTTAAATACTCGAACAAATTCACATATCAATACAGAACCAAGAATTATTTGATGAAAAGTATGCAATGGGGTAAGATTTTATAAATTATATATTAATTTGAAGCTTTTTCTAACGAATATGTACTTGCTTTTAGGTCATGAGAGCTTTTCAATCTTTGTTGTCTTCAAAAGTAACCACGCTTGCAAACATATTTTATCAAAATCATTTTGATACTCGTAAGATACTACGGCAGTTTTCGAAACAGCAGTAAACACATTTGAAAACCGTTAGTAACCTCGATTTTCAAGGATATTGAAGGCTTTAGGAACCACATCAGTCACAAGATCAGTTCTTCCCGATTGAAAATAGCTTTTAAAATTGTTTTCGCTATATTGATTGTCGGAAAAAAAGCGGTAAGGCACACTTGATTATTTGAAAAAATTGATTAAATATCTGTGAACTCTATTGATAACAAAGTCAAGTTATGCTAAGATATCCTAGATGTGTCGCAAACAAAAAATTGGTAAGATTCGCTAAATTCTATCGCTAACTCATCAATAAAAAGTTACATCAGATTGACTACTCACAAAAAGGATAAAACGATGTGCCACCGAGAATGTTCTACAATTGTAGACAAAATCTATGAGTTCCTTCAACTGGAAGAATAAAGTTTCGATGGTTTATACAATATGAGAGAATGTTGAAATCTAAATCACTGGAAAACGATAATATTGATTTAAGAAGCAGGGAGTGTAGAATTTCTGAAGAATGTATAACAAGACGACCGCATCATCTATCTATGAATCTGCCACTAGTGGTATTAGTGTGAATCAAGTATCAAGTATTGCATGAAAAAGCATGAAACTTTTCAGAGACTACCGTTCGATATCGCACATCTTAGTCAAGCGAAAACTTTTCCTCTACTTGCCTTGTATGAAATACATATTACGACTAAAAATTACCAGTAGTTGATAGAAAACAACTAAAATATTACAGTAACACGAAAGCTATTGCTAATCAAATGCCACGAGAATTATTGGATTTCGTATAATTTTATCCGGTCGACAAAGTTTGATCAGATCCCGGACTGATGAGCTACTAAAAGACATAATTGTTGAACATCATTTAATTAGCTGAATATGATTATTACTAAATAATTGATGACAACAATAAATAGTAGTAGTAGGAAAACATATGGTGACATTCTCTTTTTACTTGCCAAAACTATATCGAATTGGATAAATGAAGAAGAATGATTAAATTAAGTTAATCGATCATGTCTTTAAAACCAAGTGGATGATTTCTGTGTTTCTTGTAATAGTTTGTCTTTTGTTTTTGTTGATGACAGTAAATTACATATAACAAGATATCCGATAGAGGTCGATATTGTCTGGATTGCTACTTGACCGTGGTTGCACACATCTTCTCTGCATAGAATATTATCGGTAATCTTGAAACTGGAAAATTTTAAACGATCATATCACTAGAAGAATATCTATAGAAAATAAATACATTATGGAACTATTTCATTCGCTGATGACATTATCCTGTAACTTCTATATTATATGTATCTATTTATCTATTCCTATTTCTACATCGGACCTCTGTGTTCTTTGATGACTCATTCAGATGCGCGCTCTACGATACTAACTCGAACTGTCACTATACAAATTGCATTAGATAAAACATGTCTTTTGTTACACTTTAGACAAGTCCTATTAAAAAAATTAACGTATAAAAATATTGTTTTGCTTTTATTTTAGACTTTCCTTTATCACAGACGAGAAAAAAATGAAATAAACGCAAATCGTCATGTTAAATACATTTACCTACTTTAGCGCATATCGTTGAAACGATCATCATTAGTGACAGTCCATCAAGTTTTGTTGAGATTCACGTATGCATCATCTTATTAGAATTGAGTTCAATTGGAATTGATTAATCATGTTTATGATATATTAGTCAGGACACATATGCTCTAGTTTTATCTGTCAGCATGTGTTTAACCTCGAATCAGTTGATGACTATCTTTCTGTTTAAATTCTAACAGAAATATAAGCCATCCAATCTTGAAAATCTAATTTCATCTTCATCTTTACAATTTAATGAAATCCAATGTTATTAACAAATTTTTTATTTTTACTAGAAAAGTTTATTGATTTGAAATTCTATTGCAGATAAATGATATTATATGGAGGGTACACTTTTCAAATGGACTAATTATTATAATGGTTATAAATTTTAAGTATTCAAATATATATTGAAATAAATGTTTTTAATTTAAAATAGGATGGCAACCTCGTTATTTTGTATTGAATGAAACAGGTATTCTTTCGTATTATAAATCAAGTGAACTAATTCATGAAGGATGTAAAGGTTCATTTTTAGTACCTGCTTGTGAAGTTAAAGGTATAATCATTGATTATATTATCTAGCTATTTAATCATTTTCTTAAATGTAGTTCATCCACATGATCCATTTCGGTTTGATTTAATAATCCCAGGTGAACAATTTTTTTGTTTAAAAGCTAAATCGCAGCCTGAGAGACAACGTTGGCTTGTTGCTTTGGGTACATGTAAATCAAGAGGAACTAAATCTACAACATCAACAATTGTTTCAAGTAACAGCAGCAACAACAACAACAACAATAATAATAATAATAATCGTAATAATAAACATTCCATATTGACAATAAATCAATAAAATATTTAACTATTATCATTTTTTGTTATTATTAATTGATTTTTATCTTTAAGTTTCACATCTAAATGCAGTCGATCATGAAATCAAAATAAAAGTTCAAGAATTACATCTTTATGAAACTGTTCTTACACAACGTATTCATGCTATTAAATCAATTGCAAATGATACACCAATACCTGACATTAAAGTATATTCATCATATTATTTCTTTTTGTCTTATTTTAATTGTGTTTACATGAAATCTTGATTTTTTTTGAATATTAAGAAATTAGATGAATCAACATCGATGTTAAGTGTAACGTGCGATGCATTTATTCATACACTTGATGAATGCATTAAACTAGCAACCGGTAATTCATCTCAATCGTTACTTTTACTTTCTCCATCATCATTAACAGCCATATCTGATGACATATCAATACTTCAACAATCTTTTTCTTCTATTGATTCAACTAAGTTTGCTATTTTATTTACTTACTTTATAAGTAATTCAGTTCATTTCATTAGGCCGAAAAATTCAACAGAAACAGTTTTACCAAAACAAAATTTTTTTAAAACATTTTTTTCTGAGCTTTCTTATCCGTAAGTTTGTTTGAATTGAATTATTTTTAATAGATTATTTTATTAAAGATTTGCTAAACTCACTTCTTTAAAATTTGAAGAAATTCATTCCGAGCTTTTCCTATCGACATGTGAACAATATATTAATTTGATCGGTAAAACATTTTTGTATTAAATATGAAAAATATTCTTTTCATTCTACTAGAAAAATTCAATAGTAAAACATTTATTCCTTTACGTGCAGATGCTAATGGAAATATTAATGTAAGCTTACTCTGATAGCATACGCAGTACATATGCATTGATTTATGTATATATTGTAGAAATTAAAAAGAAAAATTATTAATGATCCGAATAAATTTCAAACTTTATATTCAATTGTTAATGATGAAATTATTGCAAAAACTACCAAAGAAAAAAATTCAGCTACTGATGCGCTTCTTTGGCTTAAAAGGTACAATTAATTAAATTTCAATTGAAATAGAAATATATGAATATCTTAGACAGATTTTCTATCTGATTTTTAAACGATCTAAAGATAATTTGCTGTTCAAATATAATTAACTTCACAGTAAACTTGAAACAAAGTTTACAACGACATCGTAATCGAGTTTCTGTAAGACAAAATTAAAAAATATCAGTATAAATCAGATTAATAAAGGTCAATAAAACATGTTCCTTTTTTTCTCAAAGAAATAAGCTATATCACAAGAATAAACTCTATGGAAAAGGTGAATATAAATAAATTCAATCATCGGGTGAATAAATATTAGGAAAATGATAATATACCAAAAACCGAACAGTAATCAGACTAAGTCTTTATTCCTTTTTTTAAAAATATTTCTACTAGTTTACGAGCTACGAGACAATCTTCAAGAATCACAAAAAAAAATTATAGTGGAGAAAATGGAAATTTTTAAACTTCTGTAACTCTGTTTATGTACAATACAATAACTATTATTTTTGTAGTAAAGGACGAGGGACGTTTTGGGGTCATTTAAATGACCTCATAACTCCCCTCGCCCTTTAAGAGAAAATCATTATCTGTGAAGTGAGACAAAAATCAAGCCCTTCACAATCACCCGTGCTCATTTTTCTAATCGGTCTTCTGTAGAAACTGAGATAGTGGGCTAAATTTATGTCATTTTATTCACTAAAACATTTATTGTAAATCAATAGTCCTGAACGAATCAATTATTAGTGTACTATTTTATGGAGATATATTCACTCTTTTATTCACTATATTTGAAATGATTTTCGTGTCTCAAAGTCTGTCTCGATTTAATTTACAGTTACAAGCTAACGAAAATTCTATTCATGAACGTTAATATTAAAATCTCAGAAAAATTTTAGAATAAAGCTTTGGAAAGAACATGAAGTTCTTAGCCTAATCCAATATTTTCGAATTTTTTCATGTTCCTTTGAAACATTGAAAAATGAATGAATATTTTGTCTAGTTATGTTTTTTAATAACCTGTTAATGAAACAGATAGAACTGTAAAATAAAAACTAATAAAAAGCTCGTTTTAATTTCTGTAGACATGTATTGTTCCATTGTTTTTAAAGGTAATTTATTTGGGAATAGAACAAAGTTACTAAGTTCTAAGGTAGGGGTGTAGCAGCTCTCAGATTTAAGTTCAGATCAAATGAACGAAAAAACTGTTCGGGCAGATCAAATCTAAGAACTGTTAGGTTCTACACTGAAATTACGTCTATATCGATATAGGCGTCTCTTATGGGATCTGATCTGATCTGCTTGAACAGCTCAGATCAGATCCTTAGAACTGTCTGAACAGTTCTTTTGATAGGAACTAAAACTGAACTGTCACGCCCCTACTAAGTTCAATGAACTTGATATGCAGCAGATGATTTTCCATTTGAGGTCTACGACTAATTTTCTATTAAAAGACTGCATTAATTGTCACCTAAAATCTATACTGAAGAGACGCATACAAAAAGTTTTTATTAGATTTGCAAACACTAATTTAATAGAGATGCATGATGAATATGGTTTATTTTCTATTTAAAATATAGATTACATGAAAATAACATCTTATTCTAAACAGTTTTGTTTTTAAATGTTATAGAAGTATTCATTTTCTTGGATGTTTCCTTCATGAGTATGGTCAAGACAACCAAACTGTTGAAGATGCTATGAATAAAGCATATGGACAAACATTAAAGCGTTTTCATGGATGGATCACGCGAGGAGTCTTTTCAGTAATCGGATTTTTAAATGCAAATAAAAAATACTTCAATGGTCTAATATTAATTGTTGTAGATCGCACTTCGATCAGTTCCATACAAAGAAGAATTTCTTATGTCGCTTGCTGTCAACTCGAATGATGCTCGAGAAGTTCTTTTCGAGCAACAGGTCAATTGTTTGTATCTTAAAATTCAATATTTTGTCTTTTTATCTTTTAGATAATGAATGAAATGCTTGAACATGGTTTAAATATGAATAGTGTTGTAAATAAAATAACAGAGTTTTACATTGAACATGAGCTTGAATCAGATGAAATTATTGGATGACTTCTCATGTTGTTTTTCTTTCTTAAGTAATAAATTAAGCTATTTTAGATATAAAAAAAGGATACCATGAAAGTAGCAATTAACCAAGAAACAGATAATAAGTGTTTATTATCACGTACAAAGCGTCGGCAACTTGAGAGAAAATTAATTAAAGCGAAACGAAATGCATGGCATCATGGGGAAAAAGTGATATATTTCCTGTTTTTCAAAAATTCTCTATTAAAATAATGATTTTACTTAGATTCCGATTTCTATCGATACTCTTGCATCTTCAGTTGAACCTGAACATGATCTAATGAAGAAAAAGAAGAAAAAGAAATCTAAAAAGAAATCATCAGTATTAACATTTGATGAAAAAGTTTAACTATTATTTGTTATTTTTGTTATTTTAAAATTTTTGTTTTTTGTACCTTGATAGGCCGCTCAAGAAATTCATCAAAAAATCTTACTTGAAGACAATGCAGCTGAAGATGCTCATATAAAAAAATTAGAAAAGCTCTTGGGTATTAAAGCGAATAAGAAAAGTTATTTACGTGGTTTTATTGATGACGGATTAGATTATTTACTCGATTTTTGTGATAAAGATCGAAGAAAAGAAATTCTCGTTGCAGAAGGTTATTGGTTTTATTCTTTTCTGCCTCATCATTCATTTAGTGATATGTATTAGGTGACGAACAGGGAAATGCTTGGTATGATGAACAAGATGAAGATCAACAATGGTTAGCTAATAAACAAAAACAAAGAGTAGAATTGGTTAATCAAAAAGAAAATGAACTAAACAGCATTAAAGAAGAAAAAAAGAAAAAAACAACTGTAGTCAAATTTAATGAGCAAGTTCAAACAAAAACGATTGACGATGACTCAATCGAAGAGGAAGATGACTCAATCGAAGAGGAAGATGACTCAACCGAAGAGGAAGACGATCCACAAGACTATGATGAAGAAGATTTCGATCAAGAACAAAGTTTTAATAAGAAAGAAGAAAATGATCATGATATTGAAGATAGTATATCTCTAAAAGAAGATATTTACGGACGAATAATTGATGTTAAAGGCGATATCGTTAAAAATAATTCAAGTAAGAATAGTTAACTGAAAGAATAGAATTGTTTCTATTGTTGATAATAGAGGAAAATATATGCAATTCTTAATATTCAAATGAGAATATTCCCATTTTATTGACCGAGAGAAACACTAATTAGTAGACCCATGATTGAAGCTAATCGATTTTTAGTGAAAAATTTCAAAACAGATTATTATTGACTTGAGATCGTTTTGTTTCAATTGCTGTGATATAAACAAAAAGTTTGATTATATTAGAAGCACTTTCATAGTCCCATTCTAATCATAAAACACAACGATAAAATTAGCCCTTCGTGTCTTTTTTAATGCATAACACCTTGCAAAAATGAAGTGAAATATTGAACAACCAGAAGATCTAGTTAGGCTGTTGACTTTTGAAAATAAAAATTTCAATGTTTCACTAAAAATTAACATAAACTTGTTTCAGGTACACTTTATATTCCTCCTGCACTTCGTCAAAAGTTAAATTCATCGGATGATAGTTCTAATGTTGAATTAAAACGACGTCTACAAGGTCAATTGAATCGTTTAAGTGAAAAAAATTTATCATCAATATTAATTGAGTTTGAATCATTTTATCGTTCTCAATCTCGTGCATCTGTTAATTCATGTTTATATCAATTATATCAAGATAGTCTTATATCATCACTTTCATTGACCGGTGAAAGTTTACTTGCTGAACATGCGTTATTGGCTTGTCTTCTTCATTCGAATATCGGCTTAGAAATTGGTTCGTGTTTATTAGAAAATTGCTTACAAATATTTATTAAACATATTAATGATGAAGTATCAAATAAAACGAACGATAATTTAATGATATTTATTTCATATTTATATGTATTTCATATGACTAATGGAAAAATCCTATTTGATACTGTTCGATATCTATTAAATTTTGATCAATTGAATGAAAAACGTCTTGAATTGATTCTTTTGTTACTAAAAACAATTGGATTTATCCTACGTAAAGATGATCCATTACAATTAAAAACATTTTTACAGGAATTACGAACAAAATGTTCATCTTCAACATTATTATCATCCTCATCAAAACGTATTGAATTTATGATGGATACAATAAAAAGTTTAAAAAATAATGATGTTAGAAAATTACCTGGTGGTTTTGAGCCTGAACGTATTGATCGCTTAAGGAAAATTTATCGAAATTTAGTTAAAGATAAAACAGTACAACATGCTAATATGCTTAATGTTGGTTTACAAGATTTTTTAAATGTAAAAGAACAAGGACGTTGGTGGATTGTCGGATCAGCATGGCAAAAGCAAACTTCTCAAGATAATAAAAATAATCATAATCAACAAGTAGAACAACGCTTTAATGAAAAAATTACAAAATTAGCTAAACATCAACACATGAATACTGATGTGAGACGATTGGTCTTTGGAACTTTATTAACAAGTGAGGTAATTTAATATGAATATTATCTGTAAACATAAATTTTTTTCAAAATCATTCTCAATTAATTAATTAATATTCTTTTACGATAATTTCAATAATAAAGAAACTTAACGTATGCAAAATTTATAACAATAGATTCAACGAGAAAATATCGTTAATAAAATTTGTATTATTCTAAGAAAAGTCAATACGAAGAAGTCTTTTTGTTAATCATATTTATGTTACTCGTGACTATTAACCCTTAAGAGCCGAATATCCCTTGAAAGAGACATTTGAATAAATGAAATAACAATCATAATAAGATTTTGTAAACAAAAGCCAATATTTTTCTGGACTAAGATTATCTTACAGGCCATATCGACATCAAAATATTTTTTTCGGGTGACTCTCAGACGGAACAGTAGGTCTTTTACGACTGATGATTATTTTTAAATCTCTTCTTTTTCTTTAAATTTTGTTTGTTCATCAATGGAACGTGTAGTCTTGTTTCTTTTATGCAACATCCTGAAACATAACGTTAACCTATTTGATGAACTCATTCCGTTATTTTTTAACCGATCCGGTGACAAAAATTACGCTGTTTTAAATAAAAATTTTCATGAACGGAATTTTTAGCTCTCTAAAAAACGAAAAAAGAGGAATTTTAGTTTGAAACTCTGTGTATACATAGTTCTAACCATATTTAGAGTACTGTGAAATTTTCAGCGACAACGGCTCTTTTTTTTTAGAGACACAAACCGGTGAAGAAAAGCTGATTTTTACCAATTTTTGCAAAATATGACCAGCTTTCTAAGATATCCAATATTTCAACAAAAACAACATCCGTTTTGAGTGAAAATTTTAGAGTAAATTAAACATAATGAAACCCATTGATGAACAAAATTTCAAATAGAAATTCTTTTCTTTCGGATATTTCTAAGTAGGAGCATTGTGTAGTTCCCGAAGGAGAGCAAGACAATTCTTTTTAATGATAGTATAAGTATGCTGATGGTTCATAAAATCTATTTTTGTGATTAACTCCTTCCTATTAAAAGCAAAAACCATTTCGGCTTTTAAGGATTAACACTGATAAATAAGAATTTGCCACTTTTATGATATTAAGAAAGACTGATAACATAAGAATTCTGTAATTTTAATCAATTCGTGAATAACAATGTCATTGATGTTAGATTTAACCTAAGTTTTAATATTTGTTTGCATCAATAAAAAAAATGCAACCGATCATTTGTGATTCTTTGTAAAAAAAGATGATTATATATCTTTGAATTTATCATTAACGAATGAACGAAACATTTGCTATTTTCTGCTGTGTAGCAATCGTTATATTAGACAACAAAAACGTTAAGTATTTCAAATTCGAATCTGTCAATTAGAAAAAAAATTTAACTAATTTTTAGTTGTTTCTAAAATTCGGAGATCGAAAAGAATTCAATCTATTAAATTTTATTTTGTTGCATTTGTGACAAACAATTAGACAATAAATATTTTTTTGATATCTAGCTCTTTGTTTACGAGTTCCTTGTTGATCAATCTACAGTCTATGAAAATCCATCATATAAGTTTACATTTTAAAAATCATTTTCAAACGGTCATCTATACATTAAAAGATTTAGATGAAAATTTTTGTGTTTTTAAATACATTTTAGCCATTGCTTCAGCATATAATTGAAATATATAATTGAGTGTATTGAAGCATGTTGCATCAATCAAAGAATCGATGTCCAAAGTAGACTAGTGCATTTATTATATAAAACGAAAGATAAGAATATAATAAAACACATACTGTAGATTCAATATAAATTTAGTAGATATACAGCCAACTTGTAAGAGAAAATAAAAGAAAAAATGATCTGAAGTTGTATTTCTTATTGAAAAGAAGTCTAGATAGAGTGAAGATTTCTCTTATTAGTGATTATTTCCTCGTCAGAAAAAACCCTAGTCAAATAGATCTTTTCCGATTATATAAACTTTATTTTGATGCATACTGAACATGTACATCATCTCATTCAATATATTATTATGAAATTATACGTGCTTTCGATTGTATTAGAAATAGTGTGAGTGATGATGTCATACGATAGACAGTAAAAGGAAATGTTCTTGCTTAATAGAGAAGAAAACATAAATAAATTTTGAATATTTTAACTGTACAGATCAAATTTCAACTTAATAAAATTATTATTTGATATTCAGAACAAGAATATATTTACGTTAATTTCTATTTGCGATTTTCTCTTAAACTAATATTTAACATGGAAGTTTTTATTTCTTGCAATTATTCAGTAAAAAGAAAATTTTGAAAATAATTAATTTTTATTCAATATAGGATTGCGATGATGCTGTCGAAAAACTTCATAAACTCAATTTAAGTAAAGTACAAGAACGAGAAATCATTCATGTAAGTTATTATTCTTATATTTAAACTGAAGCATTTTTATTTTTGTTTTAATCAAGGTTACAGTTCATTGTTGTTTACATGAAAAAGGTTACAATCCATATTATACATTAATTTTACAACGATTTTGTGCATACGACCGTCGATTTCAAGTAAAATTAACTTGTCTTATATTTATTTTAATTTAAAATATTTAGATATCGTTGCAATATCATACATGGGATAGATTTAAAGATCTCTCACTACTTAATGATAAACAATTAGCAAATTTTGGTTCAGCACTTTCTCAATTATTGTTATCGAAATCATTAACACTCAATGTATTCAAAGTAAAAAGTCATTTATAAACTATATAATTACGTACTATCAGAAAAAGTTAATATAAATAAGATCACGTAAAAATTTACAGAACGGTTCAAAATTCTTACATTCAATGAGGGAGTTTATTCATATTGACGAACATGTACGACAGTTGCAGTATTTAGCTAAACAAGGACCTAAAGTTTTGTTTTTATGCTGTTTACGTTCACAGAAAAATTTTACTCTAATACTGCTTCGAAATAAAATATTCACATGATGTGGGTCTGTTACAATATATCCATTCTGTTTAAAATAATATTATGATTATCATAGAATGAAAACAGAAGACTATTTTGATAAGGCAAAAATTTCATCTATACCGAAATAATATAAATATACCCGGCGTTTATTCATAGGAAACAATATTCATTTCATTAGAATAGTGTAAAATATAATATTTTACGTGTGCGTATGAACAGTTTAAATTATTTTTTTGAAATATGCAAGTAAAGAAGAAATAAAAATGGTCATATAGTATAATAATATGAGTACAAATAAAATAACAATAAGAATTAAGACAATAATTCAATGTTAGAAAATATTAAAAACGAGTGAGAAAGTGCACAGGGTAAACTAAGTGAAAAAGCTTCTTTATGATAAGAAGTATATATTAATTGGGGTAGGTTTAGAAATTAAAATCTAATTATCTTTCTGGCCAGCCAATTCGATGGACTGTTTGAGTACTCTCATTTTTTCTGTGCGTTCTTCAATGAAAATGATGTCATTTTATCTATTAATTAAAAATAAGAAGGAAAATTGTGGTATTATATTCAGATATTCATGCCTAGTCAAAATTTAGTATCAGCTGTATATGTATATATATAAAGTGGTGACAAAAATTTTAAGAACAACGTATCTTTGATTTTTTTTCTATAATGCGAAGCATCTAGCTCAAATTCAAATCGTAATTTGATTATCTAATGAGGTGCTCTATCAAATGCATCATCTACCAAGATTTCATTGATGAACTATGATGACCAGGTTTCTAAAAAGCCGGACATGGCAATTTTCAAGTCTCAGAAAACTTTATTGGGCGTACTCTTTAACAGTACCATCTTAAAGAGCACAGAATGCTGATTTAAATGAAGGGGCGCCGCGTTTTCTACGACCTTCCATTAAAAAGTTACAAGTATCACGAAAACCGAAAAAAGACGTTTTTTCGTCTATTGTTAGTGGTTTTCTGATAAATTTTACTTCTTTTTCTCTTTTACGATGCTTGTAACTTTTTAATGAAAGATCGTAGAAAATGCGGCGACCCTTCATTTAAATCAGCATTCTGTGCTCTTTAAGATGGTACTGTTAAAAAGTACGCCCAACAAAGTTTTCTGAGACTTGAAAATTGCCATGTCCGGCTTTTTAGAAACCTGGTCATCATAGTTCATCAATGAAATCTTGGTAGATGATGCATTTGATAGAGCACCTCATTAGATAATCAAATTACGATTTGAATTTGAGCTAGATGCTTCGCATTATAGAAAAAAATCAAAGATACGTTGTTCTTAAAATTTTTGCCACCACTTTATATATATGAATTACAATCTTGAGAATATAACAAAACAAGTTCTTTGACAACCATTTGCAAAATATATAGATAAATTGAAAATCGATATGTAAGGGTAAAAGTGAGCTGAACTTTGAAATAAATCATTCAAACAGTCTTTAGTTAGATTAAATTAATTTCTTTTTTTACATTCTCATTTCTAGAAAATAAATAAATATTAACAAACAGAGACCAATTCGATTAAAATTTGCATTTCATTTTATGTTTTATTTTCAAATCATAGAATTCATTCAAAAAGCAACTTTCACCCGGATGTTTACAGAAATTTCTTTAAATATAGATTATTGTTCGTAAAATAACATATTGAATTTTTTCTTTTGATTAATTTCATGCATTATGAATTTTGATTATAATATCTTCGTCTTGAGAAAAAGTGATAAATCGATTTTAACGATATTATCACTTTATTGAAGGAAAATATTACGATGATACCAGACGAAAAATCTTCAAAAAGTAATAACTAATATATTTTATGAACATGTCCTAAGTTTCTTCAACAGTGGAAAAAAATCTTAAATTGTTTTGTTTTTATTTTGAAGAATTTCAATTTCATCGAATTGACACCATCAGCACGAACATTTTTAGTCGAACTGTTTATTAAAATATTCGATAATACAGACGATGGATTACTGAAAAGTATTTTTCAATTTCCATCAAAACAAAATTATAAATTTGTGAAAGACGCTCTAAGGTAAAACAATTCTCAAAAATCAAATGTCCATTTTATTGTTATAAATTTATTTTTAGATTATTTCTTTCTCATTTCATTTTGAAAAAATCGAATCATTCAGAATTAGTTCATCGTCGTTGTCAAATTGCGATTGATCAGTTGTCAAATGAATAAGAAATTTATCTTTGTTTTTTTTTGTTTCAGATGTATGAAGATTATTTTTCCATCGATGATATTTTATCAACTCAAGAACGTATTCGTTGTCAATTACTTGTTGACATACCAAAGTTAGGTTTTCTCGAATCTTCATTGTCTTCATCATTAAGCGATGATAAAAAGGATCAAAAAGAAGGATCAAATCTTTCATCATTAACAGCAAATACAAAACTTGAACTTCCTTACTGGATGGTTTATTCAATATGTAATTGTAAAACAAGATTTGCTTCACTACCTGAATTACCATCAATATATGCACGAATTCAACGACAAATCTTTGATGCTGACGCATCTGTCGTGGATTTAGCTAAACAAGCTCCACATTTCTATCGTCAAGGACGTCATTTATTAGAATTAAATTTTGATGAAAAAAGACAAGTTGCAACAACACTTTTAAAAACATATCAACAGAGATTTCGATCAATTATGGATTCAGCCTTTCATTTAGTCTTATCGAATGATCATCACCATCATGAAAGTATGAAACAAAAAACAGCAAAATTTGAAAGACAAGAAAAAATTGTATTGCTACTGGGTCAAGCTGCTTTTCGTGATTATGATAGACTGATTAATAATGAAACAAGACAAATGTTACCACCAAAAATTCAAGGAATGACAAACGATCTGACTAATGTTCTTGCTGCGGCAATTAATCGAAAAAGAAAGAGATAAATGTTATGTATATAGATGTATACGTCAGATCTTTTTTTCTCTCTATTTTTGTCTTAAAATAAAAATATAGTCAGATCTAGTTTATATTAATCTCATGTAGTGGAAATTAAAAAAAACAGATAAAATCTTTAATTATTTTCTAGAAATAATTCATTGCGACTGTTTCAACAACCAATGCATCAGTACACATGCATGAATGGCTTCGTAATAGACATATAAAGTAATTCAAGAAAATGTCTGTTCGAGAATTATATACTAAGGTATGTAGAATTATTTTCATTTTTCTTCTTTTGTGTACTTGTCGATTGAATGTTGTCAATCATTGCAGTTCTAACGTTTTGTGAATATAATCATCGAAATGCTTAAGGTTTTTGAGAAAAAAAACAAAAAAATATTGCAATTATTAATTTCTTTCCGTTGTTTCGTTTGTGTTTGCATTTCTTTTTTCAATTAGACGATTCGAACGATCGTTTTCAAGTTCGTATTATTTGTCAACATCCCATTTTTGCTGTGCTATATTTAGTTTATGTTGCATGATTTTGAATTAAAATTTTTTGAAACTATGAAAAATATGCTATAAGAGTTTGCTTGAGTATTCTTTTTTCTTTCCCTTTTTTGAATATACACCGAAACGAAATATTATATTTTAGGGTGCACGCATCTGGTTACCAGATGAAGACCGAGTTTGGCGTGCTGTTATTGTTCATAAAAATTATGATGGCAAAGGAAAACTTGAAGTTATAACATCTGAAGGAGAAACAGTGAGTTAATTTGATATTGATCACATTTGACATTTTTTATAATTAGGAAATCCTCCCAATCAAATCTGACTCTGACCTTCCTCCATTACGAAATCCTGAGATTCTTATCGGTCAAAAAGATCTTACTGCATTATCTTATTTAAATGAGCCTGAAGGTAAAATAAACATTGGTCTTTTCTAAAACAAACAAACAAACAACTGTTTAATTTATTTAGTTCTATATAATCTTGAGTCTCGTTTTAATAAATCTCAAATTTATACAAAATGTGGTATTGTATTAGTTGCTGTAAATCCATATGAAGTTTTGTCAATCTACGGAAACGATACTATTCAATTGTATCGTGATCAAGATGTCCAATTATTAGAACCACATATATTTGCTACAGCGGAATCAGCTTATCAATCAATGGTTAGTTTTTCCAAGAATCAATCGATTATTGTTTCTGGAGAGTCAGGAGCAGGCAAAACAGTTAGTGCAAAATATGCTATGAGATATTTTGCTAATGTTGGAGGATTATTAGAAGAAACACAAATTGAAAAAAGAGTTCTAGCATCAAGTCCTATTATGGAAGTGAGTTTTCTTTTATTATAATAAGATATTAGAATTTCTATAAGTGTTTTAAAGGCTATTGGAAATGCCAAAACCATTCGCAATGATAATTCTTCGCGTTTCGGAAAATATATTGAAATTGGTTTTTTAAAAAATCATATTTGTGGAGCATCAATGAAAACTTATTTATTAGAAAAATCGAGGTAATATGACCTTTATCAATGTTTGAAAAGTTTTCTTTTTCTCTGTTTCTTTTATCAAGAGTTATTTACCAAGCATCTGATGAACGAAACTATCATATATTTTATCAACTATGTACACAATTGAATCAATCTGAAATGAAATCTCTTGCTCTCTGTAAATATTTTTGTTAAATGTTAAATTTATTTTCCGAAATATTTTCTGTTAATTTAGTACCAGCGAATAGTTTTCGATATACATCAGAAGGAAATGCAATAATAATTAAGGGTGTTAATGATGCTGAACAATTTTTAGAAACTCGTGAAGCTCTTACACTTCTGGGTATGTTTCTTTTAAATCATTTTTTTACTTTTTTTTAATATTAATGATTGATCAATACATAGGTATTGAGAATAAAGTTCAAATGTCAATATTTCGTTTGTTGTCATCGATACTTCATTTGGGAAATGTTATTATTAATGAAAGTGACGGTGAAGGTGAAACAACATTTGTTAAAGAATCTGATAGATCATTTTCCACATTTTGTTCTCTTCTAAAACTCGATGAAAACCGTATGAGAACATGGTTATGTAATAAAAGAATCAAAACTGGTGCCGAAGTTGTCAATACAACACTTAATCTCAATCAGGTATTATTTTAGAATGGATTCATTCATTCATTCATTCATAATAAAATATATAATTATTAAATGATTTAAAAATTGTTTGTCAATTTTCGTAGGCTTTATTTGCTCGAGATGCTCTTGCTAAGCACATCTATTCACAATTATTTGGATGGATTGTTAACGAAATAAATAAATCGTTAGAATATGTTGGACAACGGCAATCATTTATTGGTGTGCTGGATATTTATGGGTTTGCTCGTTATTCTTGTATTTTTAATGAAAAATATTTTAGATTAATATTTTAATTTTTAGCTTTGAAACATTTGAAATGAATAGTTTTGAACAATTTTGCATAAATTATGCAAATGAAAAATTACAGCAACAATTTTGTCAGGTAAAAATAAAATATATCTGCTTGATTTTATTGTAATAATATAAATTGATCTATTGGAAAATAGCATGTATTCAAACTTGAACAAGAAGAATATATGAAAGAAGAAATTACTTGGTCATTTATTCAATTTTATGATAATCAACCATGTATTGATTTAATTGAGAGTAAATTAGGTATTTTAGATTTATTGGATGAAGAATGCAAAGTTGGTGTTTTCTTTATTCTTTTCTTTATTTTTTAAAAACTAAAATATAACTATAGATGCCAAAAGGATCAGATGAAAATTGGCATAGAAAAATAGTTACTCAACATGGAAAACATCCTGATTTTTTAACAAAAAAATTAACAGCTAATTCAACATTCATTATAAATCATTTTGCAGAAAAAGTTGAATATTCAATTGATGGATTTCTTGAAAAGAATCGCGATACCGTACTGGAAGATCAATTAAAAATGCTAAAAGAAAGCGGGGTAATATTGTTAGATTGCTTTATTTCTTCTGATTTTTTTCTCTTTTTAGTTTGATTTTGTTGTTCAACTATTTCTCGAAGACGAAGATACAATAAATGCATCGAAAACATCAGCATCAACTAAATCATATCAAGTACAAAAAACAGGAACATTACAAGCAGCATCCAAAGTTCAAGCACAAAGAAGAAAAACTGTTGGATCACAAGTAAGTTTATACAAAGAGATACTTTGTTTTGATCAAAATGAATATTTTCAGCGTCTTTCGCTTGGTTCTCAGGTCGGTTATATAGACAATATTCTGTTTTTCTAATGTTAAATAAAGTGCCACTTCAAATACACATCATTCCTACTTCTCAACACGAGAATATATTTTGTTTGATTTTAAGCACAAGGTGTTTATTTCTTTTTTTTATGAAAGACTTTCTAAGACTGAACTTTAAGTCAATGAAAAACTCTTACTAACATATCTTTTGCTTTTGTTGTTTAATTTGATTGCCTGAAAACTTCTTTTTAAGTAAATAATAAATTTTATTTTTTTATTTTTTTTAAATTAGTTTCGTGAATCATTAACTAGTTTAATGGCAGCATTAAATTCTACTGAACCACATTATGTTCGTTGTATCAAGCCTAATGATCAAAAGGCTCCGTTTAAGTAAGAAATTTGTTTTTCATGTTAATTATTATTTTAATCTATAATAAGATCTTCAATTACAGATTTGAGCCTCGTCGTGCAGTACAACAACTACGTGCATGTGGTGTTTTGGAAACTGTTCGTATAAGCGCTGCCGGTTATCCATCTCGTTGGACTTATCATGATTTTTTTATTCGATATCGTTTGCTAACTCGCTCATCATTAGTTGATCGTACAAATCATCGTCGAACATGTGAAAATATTCTTAACAATTTAATTTCCGATAAAGATAAATATCAATTTGGAAATACAAAAATTTTTTTTCGCGCTGGACAAGTTGCTTATTTAGAAAAACTACGTTCAGAAAAACTTCGTGCTTGTACTATTAAAATTCAAACAACCTATCGTGCTTATTATGCTCGAAAACGTTATTTGAAAATTCGACGTACAATACTTGTACTTCAAACATTATCAAGAAGATATATAGCTAGAAAACATGCAGAAAAAATTCGTTGTGCGCGTGCTATTACTACATTTCAATCGTTATGGCGTATGCAATTAGCTTATCGTAGTTTTCAAACACTTCGTTGTATTATAATTGATATTCAAGCTCATTGTCGAAGTAATTTAGTTCGACAAAATCTTCAACAAAGAATGATTGAACGAAGTGTTCTTGTACTTCAATCATCGATACGTATGTGGATTGCACGTCGAAGATTTCTTTCATTTCAACGTGCTATTATACTTTTACAATCACATCAACGAAGACGCGAAGCTTGCTTAGAAGTTAAACAACTCCGAGTTGAGCAACGTTCCATTCAACATCAAAAACAATTAAATAAAGGCTTAGAAAACAAAATAATTTCATTACAACATAAAATCGATGAACAGAAAAGAGACAACGAACGCTTAATACTCAAAGAACAAGAATTTGAAAATTTGAAAAAAGAACTTGAACAATTTAAAGTTCAAAATAAAGAATTGAAACAAAATTTAAAGAAGCAATCAACTTTAGAAGAAGAACTTCAAACGTACGAGAAATTTAGTCTTTGTTGTATTGACACATTTCTAAGAATTCTTTTGTTTTTATTCTATTAGACTTCGATCAGAAAATGAACGTCTTAAATCTGATAATGTGTCAATCCGTTCGGATTTAACTCAAACAAAACAATTAAAAGATGAAATTATCTTAAAAAATAATGAATTAATTTCACAATTAAAAAATGAACTCGAAAATAAAACAAAAGCTATTGCAAAATTAGAAGAACAATTACTTGGAGATTTATCAACACAAGACTCATCGTTAACACGTGTTAAACAACTTGAAGAAGAATTAAATACTGAAAGACAACAACGGCAAAGACTTGTTATTGAAATGCATAGATTAGAACAAAAATGTGAAAATCTTCAAAGTGAATTTCAAAATGGCAATGTTAATGCTGTAGAACCAGCAGTATCTGATTCAAATATGACTTGGGATTCGAAATTTATGGATACACTTGATCTATATGATTTACCCGTATGTATTGCTATTTTTTAATCAGACATGTCTATGATAAACATTTTCTACATGTACATACTAGAGAGAAATTGACGTAATTCAAGGATGAGAGTTTTATCTGTCCTCCTCTGTTTATAATAGCACAACAAGGTTTTTTTCCGTTGTAAAGAAAAATGAGTGATGAACTAACATTAATGAATAATTCAAGAATTGTATTGATCAAAGAGAAAACAAGGGCAGAATCTTGCATTATTAGTACAAGGTGCTTTTTTATGAGACTAAAAATTGTTAATAGTTTTCGATCTTTTAGTGTTACTTTAACGTTGCTGTACTGTTATTATTCTTTCAGTCACTAACAGATTATGTCAGGAAAAAAGAACTAGTCGTTGTTGAACATGTGTTTAAGAAATAGATAGAATGTTTGAAGAATGAATTATATTTCAATTTATAGATCTAAAAATTGTCAAATATATTTTGGCATCTATATGAAATATTCTGCGACTAGAACTACACTGATTCGTCAATACGCACATTATCTATCGTATATTTTTAGTCCGTTAGAACATTAAACAGTAAAACGTTCAAATGGAAAAATCTATTGAGAAAAATATTTGAATAGTCTTCTACTAAAAGATGATTTTTCAATGAGATGTCATTTCATTAGGAACAAACTTTTAAACTCGTGAACTAGTTTTTAAAAATCTCTTTAAAATAATAATGTGAACTATCTAAAAATTCTATATCGACAATCTTAATTTATTTTTAGTTTACTTTCTTTTTAATCTGATTGAAATATTAATTTTACATGACAATTAAATACATGCTTAATAGTTTGTATGTTGAAACAAAACAAGTTTTATCTGAAAATAAACAAGTCAAATAAATATCACGAATTTTTAAACTTGCGGGAATTCAGATTAATTAATTCCCACAGGCAATCAAAGTAAAAAATGAACAAGAAAAAGACCTTGCTTTTTTTTCATTTTCATGATCTTAGTAGGAGAACAGAAGTTAGTAGATGTTTTCTTTCTCAAATCAGATCAAATTATTCAAGCATTCTTATTTAAGTAGTCTATAAAAGAAATATTTGAAAACTTATTTATGTCTTTCTAATCGAGTATATATCTCAATTTGAGTTATGTCGGTCAATCTTCTAATGACAAAGATGACAATAATGATTAATGCACATATTTACTTTTACATTAGGATCAAGGATCAATGGTCAATGATGGTTTAACTCCTCGTCGTCCACCTCCTCTTCATTCATCTACTGTGAATAATCATCAACGTCTTTTAACAACTATGCAAACCAATGAAATGTTCGAGGATATTGGTGAAACAGGTGGTGGCCTACTTCTTCGACTTCAACGACGTCTTAGACAACTTGAACAAGAAAATAAAACAATGATTGAAGAAATTGATAAAGGAGTAACGAATTCATCGAAATCAGGTACAATTAAAAAAAATTCATTATGGCATTTGGATGAATTAGAAATGGAAAAATTAAAAAACGATTTAAAAGCATTAAGAGAACAAGTACTTAAAGGTGATGAAAAAGCAGCTAAAGAACAATTGCTCGGTACGATCAACATTATTATTAATTATTATTTTTAAAATGTGATTTTGATTTTATTTTAGCTCAATTCGACGCATTAAATGCTGAGTTAGACCATCGACGTCGTGAACAAATTGAAATGAAATCAAAATTACAAGAACGCGTTATGCAACATGAGAATGAAACGGATGATGTTATTGCAGCTGACGCTATTGAACAAGCTTATCAAAGTCAAAAACAAATTAATAAGTAAAAACATGTTTTTATTTCGATATTATTTTGTTTTATTTTCATAAAAATAGAATGCTCGAACTTGAACTTGAACAATGTCGAACATCATATCAACGTGAATATGAAAGAACACAAGAACGTTTAGCACTACTTGAAGTAGAAAACATTCATCTATGTCAATCAATTGATAGCAATACAGCTGACAATTCGATGAAACAACAGATAGCTAGTGTCATCAATGAAAATCTTGTTTGTTCTATATTTTGATTAGTTTATAATAGCTATAAATACTATTTTGTTTTAGGAACTTCATCAACAAATTGAAACTAATCAAGTGGAAATTCGAAAATTGAGACGTGTCATCAAACTTGTTAATAAAAGTTTTTCAGCAGGTTAGTTGAGACTAACAGTTTTGTAATTAACAAAAGAGAATTTTCAAGCCATTCGTTGTCAACAATTCATGAGTAATAAGTATACATTTTTTATGTCACACTTGTGTAGAAAAGTATAGGTCGTAACTAAAAGACTATTACTCTTCAGATTTTCAACATAAAAATTTCTGTGATTTACTACTTTTTATTAGAAGATTTTCTAAATTGATGACCAACATATTTTTCCTTTGTATCCACAAGCCATTTCGTGATTATATTTACATAAAAGAAATATATTCATTATGAACTTGGTTCCAAAATATTTTAAAATAAAAAGTAGCCTATACTTTCATAACAATATATCGTTACTCATAATTAACAAAGTCTTTTTTACGAATACATTTAACTTATATATATAACTTGAGTTTTATCCAAATATTTCAATTAAAGATTTTAACAATAGAAAATGTATTCACTGAACTTACCTCGACTATAACTACATTCAAATAGCGATAATTTACTGTCTCTTTTATTTTGTGTTTTTTTGATTTTTTCAAAATTTATTTTCAAAATGAAAACTAACTTTCAGAATTAATGAAAATTTTGCTTGAGTAAAATATAAGAAACATTTCTATTCATCTCAAATAGGAAATCTATCGTTGGAGCAAGTACTACAAAATGGATCAATAGGTGGTTTTCCTTCATACGTTAGTCATGTTGATGTTTCTAATTCTACATTATTAACAACAGTAACAGCAACAACAACAGGAAACGTAGGAGGAAATGTTGACCTTCGCCGTCAAAGTACAAGACATTTTAGTGGAATGATTAAATGTAATCCACAAGAAACAGAACGCATAACTGATGCAGTCATTCTTGGTTTGTCTTTCGTTTATTCGCTTTTGTTTTAAAGCTTTTAAATTTATTTTTAACGTAGAATTAAAACCTCGCTTAGCTGCAAAATATATTCCTGGAATTCCAGCCTATATACTTTTTATGTGTATTCGATACATTGATTTTGTTGATGATGAAGCACATGTTGCTGGATTTTTATCAGCGGTGACAAAGAAAATCAAAAAAGCTCCTCGAGTAAGTTTAAAACATTTCTATTCACAGTAGATGTTAACAAAAAATAATAATTAATATGAATTGTTATAGAGAAATGAAGATATTGATTATCCAATCCTATGGATCACAAATACAGTTCGATTTCTTCATGTATTACAACAATACAGTGGCGATGAGGTATGCTTTGTTTTTTTTAAATTTAATATGTTTAAAAAGACAAATAAACTTTCATAAAAGAAATATCAAGTTACAAACACACCAAAACAAAATGAACAAGCATTAAGAAATTTTGATTTAACTGATTATCGGACTATTTTTGCTGATCTTGTTGTTCATTTGTATGATGAAATTCTCAAACGAATTAAAGTTAAATTATTACCAATGATAAGTAAGTTGCTTGTTACCGATATTCGATAAAACAATGTTTAATATTTGTTTTTAGTTCCTGCTATAATTGAACATGAAGATCTGGACTCAGGCGGAATCTCATCTGTAAATGCAATAACATCAACATCAGGATCGAATGAGAAACGATCGAAGTTTTCAGCACAAGATCTTCTTAAACAAGTATAAAAAAACTTTTTTAATTGGAAAAATTCTATAGAATTCTACGTAGTTGAATGATTATCATAAATTATTTCAAATGTACTCAGTTGAACCAATCATTGTCCAACAACTATTCAAACAGGTTTATCAATTATTCATTCTATTCAATCTAAATTAACTCCTTGTTTTTTTTCTTTTAAGATTTTTTATATAGTTGATGCTCAAGCTCTTCGTGGTCTACTTGTGCGCAGTGATTGCTGTAATTGGAGTAAAGCCCTTCAAATTCGGTGAATTTTATTTTCGACTCTCATAAAAAGAAATAAAATGATATTTTTGTTTTATTTTTCTTAGATACAATCTAAACCATTTAACCGAATGGTTACGCGATCAAAATTTACAAGAAAGTGGTGCTTCTGATTGTCTACTTCCACTAACGCAAGCAGTTCAATTATTTCTTTGTAAAAAAGATGAAACGAGTATCAGTAATGTTTGCACAAAACTTACAATTGTTCAAGTAAATCAAAATTTTTGAAATGAAAATAAACACTAAATTGAATTATACTCCTAGGTAACAAAATTATTAAGTTTGTATAAATCAATGGATGATTTCGATGACCAAGTAACACCAGCATTAATTAAACGAGTATCTGATTTATTAAAACAACAAAGACTTGGTTCAACAGTAGATCAAACTAAAATTGACTATGAACAACAAGAAAATTTTGATCTTTCATTTACATTTCCACTCATATACCCTTATGTTCCATCAACAGTTGCACTCGACCAACTGGATATACCACTTGAACTTCATCTCGATTTTCTTTCACTTGTTTAATGATAACACATTTACCTACGCGAGAAAAGTATTCCTTCCTGTTCTTTTTTTTCTTTTGTTTATCATTCCTTGTTGTTGTCGGTGCTACTTTTAACTGATTTATTTCTTTTTATTTGACGTTCTTCTTTTCTCTTTGTCTCCATCGCTTCGTTTGCACAATGATTGTGTTCATCTACTATATCAAAAAGCACACCAATTTTAGTGACTCGTATATGCATATATACATATATATAACAAAACAGTAATTGAGATGAATTAATATAATCCTATTATATTATTAACTTTTCTTTTTTTTTATAAATCAAAATACATTCCACGAACGTCTAAAGATTAAATCATGTTTATATAAATGTGCCGATTACGGATTTTGTTGATCCATCCCATTTGAGTAGCGGTACGTCTTACAGAATTCTCTGATGTTAAAGTCACAAGTAATAAAAACTCTTTAGTTGTTGTGTTTCTATTTGATAGAAAAAAAAAGTTAATAGAATATGGAATTCGGAGAAAATAGTTCTTCTACCTACAAAAAGTTTTATGATACTAGAAAAGATTTTTTATTCAAGTTATATTACATGTCATTTAAAAACATAATACAAAGTAAAAAAATGAATTTATTCATTTATTTATTTCCTTTTTTACTTATCATATTATTATCGAAGTTGTTTGGTGTCAATTCATACATTAGGACTTACAATTTTACGTACCATAACTAACGTGATATTTTATAATTCAGAGAATATTCTATTTCTTGAGAAGCAAAGGATTACTATTGACTTACAAAAGAATAATAAAAAAGTAATGTCTAAACACATTTTCATATTCCAGAGAGTACAGAAATAAATAACCAGCCGCTTTTCTTTTCTTTAGAAATGAGAGTTCAAAAAATATAGTTTACTACATAATATTCATAATTCAACGGTATAAAAACTCACACAAAATCTGAATTCTAAAATTTTCTTCCCGCCTGTTGACTAATCAGCATATGGACTCATGGATATCACCGTTATGAATCACTCACAGCTACACTACTACAAAAGTTCAGTCTACCTTCTGATACGATGTGATCAATTACAGGGAATGTGTAAATGCATATTTTATAGTGGGAATGATTTATTCTTCGAAAATAACTATTTTGCATAAAGTATAAATAATAATTATCTATACCATTGAATCCTAAATAAAAATTGATATCTTAAAAGTTTGAAACTTTTGACCGTTATGGAAACTCATGTATTGCTTCAGATTCTTCTCTCCTGGATATCATGAACAAAAGCTCATGATAACTCATCATCTCCTTATAATAGGTTTATCTCGGCGGAAAACTCAAATTCATAGAGTTGTCTTGATTTGATGAGGCACAGTAGGTGACCGAGATTGATACATTTCCTGTGCTAATTACTATTTTATTGTTTTGAAATTAGAACCTACAGGAAAAGAAGGTCTGTCGAACCATCGAGGATTCTAGAGTTCAATACAATTTTTGCACCTTTTGAAGATCTAGCCATAAAATCGTGATTCTAAAAGAGTTTTAGAGTGAAAGTATACCACCTTAAAAATTTCTCTATATTTTTAGCTGAAGATCTTTAAGCGTCACAAAACGATATCATTATCTAGAATCTGAAAAACTCCAAAATGATTACTATAGTTTCTGTTGTACGAAACGTTTCAGAACAGTGGCTAGCCGCTCACTCATTGAAGCTAAATTCGGAAAATTAATCTATTATTATTATTATTCTTAATTTGTGGCAAGTCGATCTGTAGTAAAAAAATCATTTTTTTTCTTCATGACTCCCTTCAGTTAAGGAAACATTTAAATAATATCTGTTGAAAACCGATACCACTGAATTCTTCGTCACATAAGTGAAACATGGTAGCTGATAATTTGTTCTTTCAAAAATATACAGCATCAAAATTTTAGTTAGTAGTTTTTCTTCATGAAGACAGTCGAAATTCTCAATCATATTATTTGTTCACACTTCTATAGGATTCATATCTAATGAAAACTCAGAATATTGTCCAAAAAAAGAAGAAGAATATCTAGAAAATATTTATTGTAGATACTAAACATATTCTGTAGTATTCTCTCACAAAATCTCAGACATACACTTTGTTTTTATTATTCGACATAAATATGTCGAAAATGTTTTTGTATTGAACATATGATTGTTTTTCATATCATGTTTTTCTTTTGGTGGTAGAATTGTACGACAGAATATATGAAATTGGCATTTTTATATGAGCACAAAATTTGATTAGATTTTTACCGAAAGGATAATCATGCTTTTATCGATCGATGAAAGCAAGATAGCATGACCAAAAATACTTGAAGCTTTCTCTAAGAATAATGCTTCCAAGAGAAAAGTACAATAAATATCAACAATTGTATATTGATATTATCAAGTGTTGAAAGATTAAGATTTAGGAATTGTTCCAATTCTTGAAAACTCGAGTAGAAAGCATTCTTTTTATCTAGAACTTGAAAATTAATCTTAGAATATGTCACATGTCTTTCTTATTTGCTCTACTGGTCTTAAAATCTCTGAAAGAATTAAACTCCAAATAATTCTTAGAAAGGAAAGAAAAGAACTAGTTAGTAGCAATACTAAACAATCATTGAAGGAATAGATATATGTCAAGGGTATTAATCATACATACAACTGTACTGCGAAACAACTATCAAAAAGTATCATTCGAGCACAAAAAACTGAGGTATTATGATAGTCGCCTAACGGATTTAATTTTTTTTGTTGCTATTAACTCAATTAACTGTATGTTTTTCATATGTAACTGATAATATTTGTTTGGATCCTTGTAAAATAGTTTGCGTCAAGATTTCTACTTACCATGATAATACCCTAGATAAATATTGAGTCCCATTATTAGTTCTTTCTGTGATTTCTAGTAGTTAATTCTCATGAAAGGATTCGAGAAATCGGATGGTATTTTGACACTGTTAAGTGTTGTCGTGCTCATCGTAAGTTAGTTCTACATGAGGAACCAATAGCAAAAGTAATGCAGACATCTAGTGCTCTTTTAATTCTAATAAACTTCAGTCCTTCGATATTCTCAGCTATAGAACATTTCTAAAACTGAAAGAAGTATGAGTAGCTTTAAACAATTTTTGAACCATTAGATAATCGATGTGAAGTCACTAGATTTTTACGGTATTTTTCCAACGAATGCCACGATATTCTTCAGAGACATCAGAAAAAAATATTCTCAAATTTAAACTCAAAATATTTCTTCGTAACAGCCTACAATAAAAATACTTTACTATATGACTTTCTAGATCTGTCGTTATGCTATTCCTAACATACGACTATGATAATAACATGTCGTCTCAATCAATCATGTGAAGGAGTAGGTTTCGTATTTTTATTTCGCCATCGAATTAGACCAAACAATACAAAAATTTTCTACAAAACATAATTATCAGCAAGACTTGTGCCTATCAAAATTTTCGAATCTCAGCTCGAAAAAAATTTTTCTTGTTGTCTCCAAATGAGACCAAGGTATTTATTAAAAGAAGATTGTAAGAATATAATGTCTCTACATTGATAGTTTTAATCTTTTATTGATATCACCCTATTCATAGTTTAATCAAGTCTACAGTTTGTAAATAGTCTTGATGTAAAAGTGATCGATCAGTTGGCGGAGTTCCCTGATAAGCTAACTCTATTTTGAAGTACTTTTTAATGATAGAGACTTCTAATATTAGTTTCTTTTGAACGTTTGTCTTCATTCGTAATGCTTATAAAATTCATCATAACAGGGATATGGCAATGAGCAAAAAAGTGGAGTCAGGATCAAAAAGGAAAAGTAGAATTCAAAAATATCTCAGTGCTGAAATAGTGGATATTATAACTTTGTAACAAATAATACAAAATTTAAGGAGAGAAAAAATGAAAATTAAATACAGTAGAGATCTATGCTGATACGATATTATGCATAGTCGCCAAATCCCTTCATTGTGACAGCTCAGAAACTATATATTTTTGTTAAAAAACTGAACAGATTAAACAACTCGAGGTCTGTTATAGTGTTCTTGTCATATTGTAACGCACAATTTTAGAATAAAAACGATCGGATCTAAAGCGCGTGCATGAATCACATGTTGACAAAAACAACATGCGCACCATAACGAAGATATTCGTTATATAAATACAAAGAAAAAAAAGATTGGACGAATAATTTTTTTTGCTTTCATATTAAGTTGCATCTTTTCGATAACTTGATGAAACATCAACTATCGATTTCATAATCAGTGGCGCCCATATATATTTTTCTTTTTCTTTTCCTGTTCACTGAAAAGCTATTGGCGACAAATGAAAACCCAATTGTTGCTTCTTTTTACGTCTTGTCCTTTCATACGACGGAGAAATAAACATATATTGTCTTTTTTCAGTATATATCATTTATATCTGCGACATTATCTATAGTTTTTACAAATAAGGATCGACTTGAAAAACGCTCACTATTTGAGTCTTATTTTTTAAACTCATGATCAACTGAACAATTATTCATCTGTACTTCTTATAGATTTACTATTGTTTTTATTTCCTATTGAATGAAACTAAATAGTGATATTTAACAAAATAAAGAAAAATGCTGTATATATTCCAAGTTGATATTGGCGAAACTTATGTATTTGAAACTGATTTGGCCTTTCAAAAGTATGTATTTTAAATTTTTAGTTGTTTATTATTGTTTTTTTTTATTTTAAAATTTAGTGTAAAAACATTAAAAACGAAGATTGAGCATGAACATGGAATTGCATCATCAAAACAAATATTAATCATAAACGGAGGAGAGTTATTAGATGATGATGCTGTACAAGTCTGTATGAAAACCCGTGAAACATGCGCTGGAACGGTTCGTTTCTTTTAGTACTTCTGAATTAATTAGATATCTATGTTCATGTAGGAAGATAATCCAATTTATCTTTTGGATAAATCACATTTAGAAAAATCAGTTCCATTACAAATATCCTTAACACCAAATAGTATACCAATATTAGATAATGCCACCGTGCAACAGTGGTTATCAATGGCACCAACGTATGAAACGATTGTTCAAAGAGCTGACACTGCACAAGTTTGATATGAAACATTTTTGTTCAAATTTATTGATATTATTTTTTATCTTTAGAATTTCGATAGATATGCCCAGAAAATAATTCAAAATTGTGAACGATTCATTCGTGATCAACAAGCCCAATATCAAGGATGGATGGCTGTAATTGCTAATATTGAAGATACAATCTCGTTCGTTTCTGATTTATCTTTTATTTTATTTTTTCACTTTGTTTTAATTTATTTGTTTTCATTAATAGAAGCTTTGTACTCAATAGAAATTCATTCAATCGTTTATATCAAAATTATCTATCGGAAAGACCGTCGTATTTGGAACTCTTCGAAAGGTTTTTTTCTTACAAGAAACCTAAAAATCTGAAGAAAATTATTCAATTTTAGCCTTCCTCTTGCAATTAAAATTCTACATCAATTAACACTTCCAAGTAAATTAGTGGCTTCAATAGATAATTCTACGGGTATATATTATAAATCAACTGTATCATCATCGACTTCATCATCATCGATTAGTTCGACAATAACAACAAGTCCAAATTATTTAGCACAAAATGATAATGATATTCAAACTGGCGGAGATTTGTCCTTATTTGAATGGATCACTACTCAAGTAATTCGACTGTTCTACTTTGATTTTTTTCTCTTTACCAGCAGCCAATTTCCAATAGTTTTAAGATGAATATTTCTTGCAAGAAAAAAATATCCATATATTTTTTCATAGTATCTCAAATAGAGATACTACAGTTTTGCCGAGTCTTCTTCTGAGGATACCACGATAATCAACAATGCCAGTATTTATGGCATGTGTATTGGTGACTCAGTTTTTTTTACCATGATTACAAGTTTAACAAATGTATAATCTATTCGAAATCTCGCATGTATCAACGATAATCTTTCTATCAAGTACTAGTTTGATATTGAGAAGTCATAAATTGATATTTTGATGGAATACTTTGCCCATCAAGTGATTTGTAAAATATTATAGGTTTTACACGGAAATAAAATCTTTTGTTGTGGATATATTAAATTTTCGAGAAATAGTAGTTGATAATAAGTATGTTACACAAAAAAATCGAGTTTACTCGAATATTCGATGTATCTTTAGTTTCGCCGTGTATAACTAAATTTAACTCGAAAATGCAACACAATAGTCATGATTTTCATTGAAAGACATTTAAAACATTTGCTAATCTCAGTGAAATGTCATTGCAATCAAATTATGATCTCAATATAGAAAGTATTAGTTTGGATTATTGCCCTTGCAGTTTATTGTTAAATAGTCCGTTCTTTTTTTTCCTGTCCGTTGTGTATAGAGAGAAATATTTCAATCTACCATTTCATATCTAAGAGTTGAAAATGTTTTAGTAAATTATTTACATTAAAACTTCTATGCTTTGGATTACAGAAAAACAGTTAAAAACAAGTATAGTAATTTTTATACTAAACTGAGTAATTCATTTACAGTAATCACAGGTTCAGTAGAACAATTTTTTGTAAATGATCAATTCAACTTAAAATATTTACTGTTTTTGTTTTTGTATTGATTAGTTAGCCAATGTGAAAGTGGAAGATATAATCGATGGATGCAAGCATTTTATTAATGAGGTAATTACAAATCTTTTCTATAAAAATCAGATTTTGAATTTGAATCCATTATCTAGTGCACTGAAGAATTTTTATGTTCACTGAATATTGAAATTGATGGTTTATTAGAAAGATTATCAAATCGTGAATTAAAACATATGATTGGTATAGAAGATCGATTTACTCTTCTACAAAATCAATTAGCAAATGCAAAACATTGGCAACATGAACAAAAAGATTGCGCCGATGTAGATCAAGATAAAACGAATGATTTCAGTTTAGAATAAAATTAATTCATTTTTTATTTTGCAGTATCTAATAAGTCAAAGACAAAGATTCAGTTCAAATGTTGGCAATCAAAAAGATTGGTCTTTAATTAAAGATATATCAGGAATTCATTCAAAAAATTTAATTGAAATAAGCAAACGACATCAGACATTGATTGATATAGAAAGAAAAGTTCGAAAATCAAAACAAGAAATTATTGATCAATTACATCGAAGATTCAAGTAAATGAGATTATATTTGAAAATTCATAAAAATTAGAAAATGTTTTTTTTTTCTAGAAATCTTATGCTTCTTCAACGACATTTAGTTGATTATGATACTAAACTTTCCATGTATACTCATAAATTAAATCGAACAAAAAAAACTATGTTATTTTTACAACAACTGAATCAAACACCGAAACTTTATTATTTATTTTTATATGAATGTGTTAGACGAAAACAATACGCAAAGATTTTCAATAAAGTTTGTCGATTTTCGTTTTCTTTCACTTAAATCTTTTTTATCTACATTCTGTAGTTCGCTGAAACAATTCGTCTTGAATCAAAGAATATTCATAATGATGAAGTATCTAAAAGAGAACAGTTTATTAAACAGCATGGTATGATATTCACAATTTGTTTTTGGAAAAAACCTATTTTTTTTAACAATTTTAGAATCACATTTTCTTTTTAATTTATTACCATCTCTCAAAATATTACCAACATTTTTTATTGTAAGATTTGTTCATCTTTATAACAGATTAATTCATTTTTAATTTTTTTATAATAGAAAGAACCATTATCATTATTAGATTTAAATTTACCGGATTTGACCTTAAATGAAGTTGATCATTTGTTTGAAGAATTTCCTGAAATACAACAACAGAACAAGTATTTTTATATATGATTTTAATTTACTTGATTCGTTTTTTTTTTATACTGATTAGCGATACACAAAGTATTGATCATTTAATGAATCTTGATTCACTTATTCGTTGCACACAAATATTTTCTCAAGAAGAATATTCAAACACACCTTTGGTACCACTTTCTGTATTAATTCCATCAGAAACAACAACAATTATCAATGAAGATATGCCAAAACAAATTCCTTCCCCAACAAATAGTAGTAGTCGATCAACAGTTGTTCGTTCTCAATCATCATCGGATGTTGAATCACCGCACGAACAACTAATAGCACAAACATTATCAACAGACGAACAACTAAAACAAATCATTAATGATAATGTAATCGAAACAATTAATGCGATAGAATCAAACATAGAACAACAACATAGCAATGAGGAAATGAACTCATCAAAAGGTTAGATTAGAAAATTGTCATTCTTTATTTTTTCCCATTACACATTAAACTTAACATTCATGTATTTATTTTCAGGAAAAAACATGTCACTAGGATAGATTTCGACGAAATCATAAATATAACATATAAACTGTATTTCTATATACGTAGATTAAAATTTAAACTCTAATAAAAGTTTATAGTTATAGTTGAGACAGAAAAAAATTGATTCGATTCCGAAAATAAAAATCAAGAAATGACTCTATTTCTGATACTATAATCTTTTACGCCTTCAAATTTTATGATTGACCAAAGAATTGTTCACTATTCTTTGTGAACTATAAAAAAGAAAGAAAAAAAAACGAAAAGAAATATAAAATAAAATATGTTTCACAGATTTTGATTTAAAAAAATGATTAGAAATATATGTCATCCGTTGATCAAAATACTATTTTCTACGAGAAGCTATCGAATCCTCTCTTGTATAAACTATGAATACATTTTTACAATAGTCGAATTCTTGTTTTTCTACTATCAAGATTTGAAGATAGTCTTTTTTCTATTGACCTAGTGTTCCATAATAAAAACTTGTGATTCTTTTGAGGCATCAGATTTCAATACATAGATATTCATTGTAGCTGGAAATCTTCTTAGATGTTTTTTTAGAATCATTTTTGTAGCTAAGCTACAGTATCCCAATGAAATTCAATTCAACAAAATTAACAAGATTCGTATTTTTTAGAATTGTAGACACTAAAATAGGTACAAATTAATTAATTTTCATAATTTCTTTATAATCAAAGTGGATGCTCTTACAACGATAGTACGTTTACATAGCCTTTCGCGTACCGTTCAGTTTTAATATGGATGTCTGTTTATCAGTGTAAAACATTGTCAGTATCAATTATTTCAAATAATTTGTGGTTTTAAACAATACTAATCAAAAGAAATTTCCAATGATGTCTTGTACAACTTTTACTATTTTTACTGTTGTTGCTAAAATGCAATTTTTTCATTTTTATTTATTCCCAGTTGACAAATAAATTGATTCAAAAAGTGATAAATTTTTATTTAGAAACGATTCCAATAACAAAATCGTTAGCAGATTGTCAAATCAATGGCACATCACCAGCAACGGCAATCGTAATTTCGACAACAAACTCAACAAATAACAATGAGGAAGAGGATGATTATGTGCAATGCAGCCTTGAAACAGTTTATACATCAACTGAAATGGCTGTTTCTCCTCCGCATCGCCCCTGTGCCTCCCAACAAACCGACAATGAATATATACGTCTTATTCGAAATGAATTTATTTCATTAAAAATTCAATATGAACAAATAAATAAATTTCAACATGACGATTTACTTAATTATCATGAAACTATTGTAAAAATTATAAAAAGTCTTCAACAATCAAATCATGAACACCAAAAACAAATTGAACAATTACACACAGAAATCAATAATTATATTCAAGATAATGAAGAATTAAAAGTAATTTCACTTTTATTTCAAATGATTGCTATTTCTCAGTTTTACTTTTTTTTACTTTAGATTCAGAATGATAATAATCAACAACAAAAACAAGAACTAATAATTAAATATCAAATACTAGAAAATAATTTTGATGAATTTCGTCAGAAATCTGAAATTGAAATATCACAAATAGTTAAAGGTATTGAATCAGATTTTCAATTCGGGATGAAAAAGGCTTCGAATGAACAACAAGAAACAGAATCTTTAACAACAACAGTCGACACACAAACCGATAAACAATTAACATATGATAAAGAAACAACTACTATATTAACTACTGAACATCAATTAACACAAACAAATCAAATTGAATTAAATAATAAAACGATTCAAACATCATTTAATGATAATGATGAAACAGTGCGTCGTCTAGTAACAAAAGAGCAACAAATACAATTTAATTTAGCTATACAACGTGCTGTACAAAATGCCACAGATACACAAAAGAAACAAATTGGAGTACTGGAACAACAATTAGAAGACAAACGCTTGAAAATTATTAAATTAAAAGAATGCATTAAAAAACTACAGAATTTTTATGCATTATCATCAACACCACCATCTATGTTACCTTCTATTACAAAGTCTATTATGATAACATCAAATGATGATGATGAACCACAAATAAATAAGGATGAAACAATTCATAGAACAACATTTATTAAACGTAGCGAACCGATTTCAATGCCGAGTTCATTTGTTGTTCAAAGTATGTTGGCAGCTGGAAATGTTGCAACATCACCAAAAATGTAAGTATTTTGATTTTATTTTTTAACTTTTGTCAAATGTCGTTTATCTGAAATAGAAAAACTATTATCACATGTCTATTACGACTTAATAAGAGAATTAAGAATAGAGTAATTACTGGAGAAAAATGATTGAGTCTTGTAATTAAAACTTTTCTCTTAATTATTCCTCATTTTCTACACTCCTCAACTCTTGAGAAAAATCTGAAACGTTGTTTTTTTTTAATTATGCTAAATTTTATTCGTAACATCCATACATTTTTTGTGATTTTTGTACAATTTTTGCGAACGCTTACGAAGCAAGTCAACAGATAGGACTACGATAACAAACAGAGAAAGAATGACAAGGAAAAGAAAACGAATAGAACGAAAATCGAAATCGAGGCAGCGATGACGTGGTTGGTGTTCATTACTGTTCTTCCTTTGTTTATTCTTCCGATACCGTATATCTTGACTCCGAAGACACCGAGCCGGTGGAAGGAATCGAACCCTCTCCTGTCTGACTAAGAATCAGATGCATAGAACCAAAGATCTTAAACGTTGTATCAGAAGCAGAATAGGTAAATCTTTCAGTATATTCTTAATATTTCTCTTAGTGTTAATAATTACATGGAAAATGTCATATTGATAGATTTAATTTTCATTTCTCTACAAAAGCATAATAGAAAAATTATATGCGGTAGAAATAAAAACGAAAGATCTATTACAGCAAAATTACGAATATCTACTATTAAAATATTTTAAAATAAAAATATATACGCTAATATGAGCTCATATTTCATTAATGAACTCTTGTTTAAATTCTTAAAAACAATATCTGGAACATACCATACGACCTGCTTCATTTAATAGTAACCAAGAAAGAACGTCTAAATCTAAGATATTGATATAGAATAGAATATCAAAACAACAGATTCAAATCTATTGTATCAAATGTTTTTTTTTAAATAACTAAACTTTTAAAGAAAAAGAAAATTCAACAATATTAAATAATACATTACAGTAACAATCATTTTATTGAAAGGACCAGTGAGCCTGCCTACATACAATGACGCTTTTACATCGTACGAACAATAATTTTCACTGTTCTATATTTCAATGAGGAAATGTTGACATAAAAAAATTGAATTTTATGATCGAAAGTGATGATATCAATCGAATCACAGTATTTATGTAATAAATTGTTTGCATTTATGTCTGTCACATAGAATTTGTCTACATTGTTATAGAGATATGAAAGTTATGTCTTTCAACATGAAATTTATTTTATAACTATTCAAATGAACGTATGTGCCGAGAAAATACTGAGAAATTTGATTAATGTCAAACATTTTTTCTTTGAACATTAATTCATAAATATGTATGCATATTGTGTATTGAGTTTTAAAACCAAGCAATTTCAGTGATTCTTTCTTTTTATTTTCAAGTGATCAGCAAACTTTAACTGGAGTGAATGATCTTTTGATGGATACTTGTTTTAAATCATCTCCAAATGAATCAAGTAATGCTGTAGAATTATATACACCATTTGCTGCATCACCACTTAATCAAATAGTAAATCCAATATCAATGCCAACATCTGTTCCTATTAGTTCATTTATGAGTTCATCACCAACTGTGTCATCAACAACAAATTCTTCACCACAAGCAATACCTATTGCTATTGTTACTGTTAATCGATTAGATTGTGTTGTTATTTATTTTGATACAACGTATCAACATTATATGATTTTCACTTATTTGCCAACACTTCATTTCATACATTCAGATTGTTATGAACTATTTAACATTCAACAAAAACAAAATTCAATTCACCCGACAAGTAATACAAATACTAATGATTCGATGTCTACTGACAATGGAAAGAGTTCTACAAGTATTCCAGCACTTATAAACACATCTATGATTAGTTCAACATTAATTGGACCTAATGGGTTGAATCCATCAACAACTCCATTAATTGGTCAAGTTACCGATAAAGAATATTGTCAAGCTAAAAAAGCAAATAATCGTTTCAATGTACCCTTAGGTACCAAATTCTATCGAGTTCGTGTTAAACCATGGAAACCAACGATATCGTCGCTTCCAAACTAATTCATTTATATATTTATCTATTAATTGGTGCTAATTTGTCCGTCTCACTAGTATTTTATTCCCACCTTATATATATATATATATATATTACTAGTCATGATTTATTTGTTTTTCTTCATGAGTGTCATATTTCGCAAACAACTGTATGTGTGTATTTTAAACATTTCTTTCTTTCTTCTATTCAACTGATCGCGGTGTAATGTGCTGTCCTTTTTTTTTCTTTTGATAATATTTTGTACAAAGTGAAAAAGACAAATCACGCATGATTAAACAATGATGAAGCAAAAAGAAAGAAAAAGAAAGATTTCACGTGATGACAAGTGGTGATTTGTAATGTGATAGGGGCGTTTCAAAAGCGCAATGGAAACCAATTATTACAGCAAAGGTTGATTAGTTCACTATAATCAAAATCATTTAAACTCTTTCACGAAATATATAAATATTACAATAATCAGTGTATTTTTATTAATTTGTTATATTTTTTACGTCAATTTCTCAATCTTCATAATATAAAATGCATCGAAAACAACAAGAAATAATTTCGTGAAGTATTTTCGTTCACGAAAGTACTGCTCAAGTGCATAATGATTAGTCCTTTTTGCTTTTTAATTTGCATATAAATCTGTGTAGTAATTGGTAGTTATGTAAATAACATTTAAAAAACTCGTTTATCAATATAAAAATGCAAAGAAAGAAATGTGAACTTTTTCTGGTCGATTGATTCCAGTGACACTATTTCATTAGACATGATTATTTTTCAGTAAACTCTGACTGTATATTTTTCTACAATTAAATTATAGTTTTTGGTTCAATCTAAAGGATTACTTTCTAATAGATATGAGCGATGATTAAGAAATGTTTACCATGTAAGTGTCGTGATGACGTATATATTTGAAATAGTTTTTAAGTCAATTAGCTCAACAAAATTATAAACAGTTGTGAAGAAAATTTGACATGTATTGATTATTAAATAAAAAGGAGAGATTATGAATTTATTTGCGTTTGTCTTATTTATATATACATTTAGAGTAGATAAACCAGTGGCGAATAGATGAAAGATATAATAAATGTGCTGAAGAATGAATAAGAAGTAGACTAGAATATTTCAAGTGCCTATTGAAGATCTCCATAGAACAGCTCGTGGGTAACTACCGAAGCCACTATACATATATACAGAATCATAATTGGACATTAGGCGCTCTTGATATTTTGTTTCATCTATATCATATTTTTTCTGTGGAGATGAAACTGTTGGCGAATAAGCAATAGCCAATGTAGTTATTCCACTGGCTCCTAAAGCCACAGTTCCAATACAAATAGCAGCTATACCGATTACTTCTATCATTGATAGCGAAAGAACGTTTAATAATAAAAGTAGTGATGCAAAACTAAAAAATAGAAATAATACATTTCTACCCACAATGTCTTGTTTAGGTGGAGTCAAAAAGAGAGGCGAAAACCTGCAAGAAAATATTAGTCTTTTTTACTGTTCTGTTTGTTTTTTGGGTCACACTTTGGGCACATATTTGCTTTTCTACCACATATTCTATTAAATACAACGACAAAATGAAAGTCATAAATCTATCTCGTGATATTCCGACATGTCAATCAATAAGTAGTAATGTTGTTACTTGGTTGCGTAGCAGTACTTTTTGAAAAAATACGAATATATAGAAATTCTAAAGTACTTTTAATACAAAGATGTTTGTCAACTATATAGAAAATATACATGACACTGATTTCCACGAAGACAATCTTTAGGATCCTTTTAAAAGATATAGAAATGTTGGAGATATAAATTGCTTTTTACTACGTATATACACTGCATGAAGTTAATAAAAGAATATTTTTGATACATAGAAAATAGGAAAATGATTTCTTAAAAGATATAGTACGCATATATGAAAATATAAAATCGAAATATTTACATTCTATTTAAAATCAAAGCTCAGTTCTGTTTTTAATTTCTTAAGTCAAAGCCGGAACAATTTTTATGAACAGCCAAAAGATGACATATCGATAGAAAAAACCTACGAATATATTCTATTGTGGAATCCATTTAAAAAACACAGGAAACATAACCGTACTACAATATCAATATATTGTAAACAGTAGTTCATGAATGGTTCTAAAAAGCATTCATGCTTGACGCTATACTTGAGTTATCAATGATTTCATTTATTTTTACTCACAAATAATTTCGAGGACCAGCTAACAAGCTGTATGATTGAAATTAAAACAACCATTTTCAATTCAGAGATACAATGAATGTTTGCTATGATGAATTGCAATAAAAAAATTATACTATAGGACATCGATTAATCCATAGTTGTCATTAGTGAGTTAAGATATCCTTCGGTATATCTATGTATTTGTTTAACTGGAAAAGCGATGAAATTTATCGTATATTGACTAATCAAACTCAACATAATCTCAAATAATATCTTCTTAAAGTAAGATGATAATTGCTGAAGTGTTGATCCCTACTCGATGGAGAAAAACATCTTTTTTAATAGTATTTTCTTCAGATCCAGTGCGATTCGAATAGATTTAAATAACCTTCAGACCATGAAAAGGTGGCTTTTTTCGCCTCGTATAAGCCCAACAGAAAGCTTCATTTTCGGTAGCATAGCTTTTAAATAGTTAGCGAATCGATATCAATCAGCTGATAAGGAACTGAAATATGGTCTATTAGCTAGCACATAATCGTTCTTCTCACAGCAATAGTATCATCATTTTCAGAAAACAGATCAAATCATTTCATAATGAAAGTTAACTACTTTATTCAATTATTAATTTCTTACACATACTTTCTTACATTCGAATTACAAAAAATGCCACACAACCATCGAAAGTCGTGAAATCTAGAGCATAAATTTTCACGCTGATGTTTTTTTTTGTAGTCGAATCTATTATCTGTATGTTCATTATCATGAAAGTGTTTGTAGCAATGATTAATTACTCAAAACTCTTCACTTCAAGATAAAGCACTGTAAGTAACAAGATAAATAAATATAACTATATCAATATCGAATTGCGTAATTAAATACCGCATCAACTTCTGAATCTTAACTCATATTCTAAGAATGGACACAGTATTCTAATGCAATCTCAAGATAAAAATTGAAACTTTTTCATTATGAATTTGACACAAAAATGAATCGATCTATTGATTTTTCGATTCATAATATATATATATATATATATATATGAAAGTCAATATTGAATATATTTCAGAATATGCAAGATAATCAGTAGTCTATTTCGCGTTCCGATCGAAAATCTCACAAAACAAAAATATGATTGTAAATCAACTCCAACAGCCATTAAAAGATATATAGAGGCATAAAGACTTTTTGTCACTGGCAGAATAAAAAAACTTGTCAATATATTTATATATCTTCACAAGACGAGAAAAATAAACATTTTGATTCACTCTTTTGTGACAAAAAATACGGGTATATCTCATTTTATCTCTCTGATTATAATCATCATATGTTGCTTTTAGTTTTTTCATGTTTTTGCTGATGTTTCTGTTATTGTTGATGGTTTTTGAAAAAGTTTATCAGCTGATAGTTTATCGTTACATTTGATATAAAAATAACGAAGTTGCTGCTTCAACATAAGATTATCTTTCAAATGCGGGAAATGATGTTCAATAAATTGATGGATTTCACGGCCTTTGACTAAATCTTCAGCAACCATTGCACAGTTGATAGCAACTGCAAACATACGTAAATCAGGTAATTTTTTTTGACGATATACATAATCATCGTAGATTGCAAGTGCTTGGCGAGCTTGATTGCTCTGTAAACCTAGTAGACGTATTTTTTTTGTTGTAGCAAGTCGATGACGATGTTCTGCATTTTCTTTTGATGTCGTATCTGATGAAATTAATGTTGAGTGGCGCACAGTGGGTATTAAAAAAGTGAATGCTTGATGAAATCTAACAGCTTGTTTCATAGAAAACATGAGAAGCAAGTTCAATTCGAGGAGACGAGAATAGATATGTTGTCATATTAAAAACATACATCTGTCGATCGTGAAAAAAGATGTCACTGTAATTCAATAAGAAATCCTTTATTTTTCGATTGACATTTCAGTATTTTTATGATTTTTGTAGTCATGATCATTCTAAAAACATACCGACATGTTTTAAAAAGTATCAGCTGAAATTCTGGTTCAATAAATTCACGATAGAAAAATCTTTGAAGTCAAATGTTTGTAGAATGTGCTAATTATTAAATACTATATCTTGAATCAGCGAAGAAATATTATATTTTTCCATGCACTTTTCAGATAACGATCAACTTGTTTTATTCAAATGAATTTTGATGAATCAAACAACATTTTGTATTCCTAGCCTATTTTTGACGATATTCGTTTAGCATATTGTTAATATTTCTTCTATTTGATCAATTGTAAATTATGATTTCCTAATCATATCATATTTTGTTTCATATAATGAAATGTATCATACAGAAGTTATTAAAAAAAAAAGAAAAGAAACCACATAAGTAAATTTGTAAATAAACATCTTAAAAATCGTTTCTTTTCCTTACATCTCCTACTGATGATTGAAAAAGATACAAGCGCTTGGATATGGTTACGCTCGATGTATATGTCGTGCCGAAGTTGCACTGTTAGCCGAAGTTACAACTTTGATGGACAATTTTTCTTGTTGAAGTTGTAATTTCGGCACGACATATGCATGTTTACCTAGTTCTATACATAGTCATGATCCGTATACTGAGTAGAATAACGAGATTTAGAACCATTAAGAGAGTATTTTTGTCAATGTTACACAGAATATTGATATTTAAAACATTAATCAAACAATATGATTTGGACCATTGAATTGATTGATGATGAAAAATATATCAAACAAAATTAATTTGAAGATAATACCTAATATATTCAACCAAGAACATCCTCAACTATGCTTTATAGAATAGAAAAGCTACCCGAGTTTCAATATTGATAATTGAGTACCAATGAATAGTTATATAAACATTAACATTTACTTCAACAGTAGTTGTTGTTGTTGTTGTTGTTGTTTTATTCCGTCGAATAAACTGACTCCATAAAACATTTTGTAATAAATATTCTAGCGAACGTGTCAACTACGGGCGTAACCAGAAAAAAATTGTAGGGGGGATAAGTCGTTGGTCAAAGCCATGGTAGGGGGGGGGGGGGGTAAGAATTTTTTT